AACCTTGGACGCACACAAAACTTCTGTTTTGTGGCACGCCCAGCCAATCGTATGGAAGCTCCTTAACTCCAGGCAGATTGTGCAGCCCACCCAGATCCTGATGCTTCCCGCATCAGGAAGCACAATGAAGTCTTGCTTAGCTACATGATGCATTTGCAGGTCAGGCAATGGGGACTGGGTCTTGGTGAGGGCTCATGTGTCTGGGTCAGGGTGGGGTCCCCCTGAGGCCCCAGCATATGTCAGGGGAGAGCTGGGAAGGCGAAACACATGTGCCACCTCAGTCCAACTAGATGGTATGGTCCCTTTGAGTCTGTCCCCTTTCTCCTCAGCCATGCAGGCTGAGGAACTCAGACATCTCCAGTAATGGGCCACAGGATGAGGGGTTTTCTTCTCCTTACAGCCTTTACCTCCACAGTGAAGTGATCATTAAGGATTATCCTGTTGCACTTTCAGTAAGGAGTGCCTCCCGGCATGGTATAGGAGGTGGTATGTGGCAGGATATGCCTGGGCCATCCCGACTCCTCTTTCTCCAGGGTACAGGGTTTCTCATTCCACTGCAGTCCAGTGGTTCTGGGGTCATGGAGGTAAAGCCCCCAGCTGTAGGCGGAATACCGCCTACCTCAGCTTCGTCAGCTGGTTGGTGCACCATGACTGCCCAGGGTCGGGCAGGATTGCTGAGGTGGGGCCACTGTGGGGATCCTGGGAGAGGACCTTGCTGATTAATCCCAGGCCTCTGGAGAATTGGCTTCGAACCACGGCCCGATCTGTCCCCCAAAATTTCCCCAGTAGCCCAGATCATCAGCCAGGGCCTGTGTCTCAATCCACTGCAGTACCACCCAAGGGAGTTTGGCCATCTGAGATGGAACAGAAAAAAATGTCAGGTGAGCAGTCCAGGTCTCAGGGCGCATCTGAGGTCAGAAGTTTGAGACCAGGCTGACCAACACGGTGAAACCCCATCTCTACTACAGATAGAAAACTTAGCCGGCCGTAGTGGTGGGTGCCTGTAATCACAGCTACTTGGCAGGCTGAGGCAGGAGAATCGCTTGAACCAGGGAAGCAGAGGTTGCAGTGACATGAGATCCTGCCATTGTACTCCAGCCTGGGTGGCAGAGTGAGACTCCATCTCAAATATACAAACATATATATATAATATGTATAAAATATACTATATATAAAATATACTATATATTATATGTTAGTATATATATATATATATACTAAATATATATATAATATATATAAAATATACTAAACAAATATATAATATATATAAAATATACTATATATAAAATATACTCAATATATAAAACATATGTATATATGTTTTAAATGTTGGGCAATGTTCACTGTTGCCAGCTAAATGCTATCCTTTTCCACAAAGAAAGCATCTTTTCCTGTCAATAGCAATATAATTTTTCAACATTGTGGTAGAGCACAGATAATGTGATGCCTATCATTTCAGCCAGTTTACAGTCCAAGTCACTGGTAATAAGTACCTTGAAATAATTATGCAACCATCATCACCATCGCCTTCCATCTTCCCAATCAGAAACTCCGTCCACAGTAAGCACCAATTTCCAGGCCGGGCAAGGAGGCTCAGGCCTGTAACCCCAGCAGATCAGGAGGTCAAGAGGTCAAGACCATTCTGGCCAACAGGTGAAACCCTGTCTCTACTAAAATGCGAAAATCAGCTGAGCGTGGTGGCACGCACCTGTAATTCCAAGCTACTCGTGAGGCTGAGGCAGAGAATTGCCAATTTCCAGGCCGGGAGACGGAGGCTGCACTGAGCCAAGATGGAGCCACTGTACTCCAGTCTGGGTGACAGGGCGAGACTGCCTCTCAAACAAAGAGAAAGAAAGAAAAGAAGAGAAACACCAATTCCCCATTCCACCTTCCTAGTCCCTGCCACTCAAGAGTTCTAGTTTCTGTCTCTGTGAAATCTGTGGCTGTTCTAGACATTTTAGATAAATGAAGTCATATGCTATGTGGCCTTTCATGTCTGTCGTCTCTCTCACTGAGCCTGCTGTCTTCAAGGTTCATCCACACTGCCACCTGTGTTTGAGCCTCATCCCTTTTCCTGGCTGTATAGTATTCCACGATGGAATGTGCACAGAGCCCATTCCATTCACCTGTTCATCCATGGATTGACACGTGGCCTACTTCCATCTTTGGGCCGTTGTCAATCATGCTGCTATGTATGTGGGTGTAGCAGTGTGCTCTGTCTTTCTAGGAAAGCCTGGAGAAATACGTGCACACATGACACCATGTCCTTTGCGAAGACGTCTGTGGAGCTGGAAACCCTCATTCTCGGCAAACTAACACAGGAACGGAAAGCCAAACACCGCATGTTCTCACTCCTAAGTGGGAGCTGAAAGATGAGAACACATGGGCACAGGGACAACAATATCACACACCAGCACCTCTCAGGGTAAGTAGTGGGAGGAAGAGCATCAGGAGCCATAGCTAAATCGTGGTGGCCTTAATACCTAGGTGATGGTTTGGCAGCTGCACCAAACCGCCGTGACACACTTTTACCTATGTAACCAAGCTGCACACATGTCCGTGTTCCCCAGAGCTTAAAATACATTCTTTTTTAGATGGGGTTTCAGCCTTGCTGCCCAGGCGGAGTGCAGTGCTGTGATCTCGGCTCACCTCAACGTCCTCCTCCAAGGTTTCAAGTGATTCTCCTGCCTCAGCCTTCCGAGTACCTGGGATTTCAGGCATGCACCACCACGCCTGGCCAATTTTCTGTTTTTAGTAGAGATTGGGTTTCTCCGTGTTGGTCAGTCTGGCCTCGAACTACAGATCTCGGCTGATCTACACACCTTGGCCTCCCAAAGTGTTGGGATTGAAGGTGTGGGCAGCACACTGGCCAAAGTAATATTTTCCAAAAGTTTACATAGCACCAAGAAAAGATGTCTGATTGTTTTTATTAGACCGATGGTACAGTTGAGCACTTTCTCTGATAAGACATTATGACTTCGGGACCCATGTGAAATCACTAGACTGAATTGCAAGCAGGAGTCGAAGAAGGCCAGTCAGCTGCATTCACTTTGAGGGGTGGCCAATATGCCTGAGGCACCAGGCCCTGGCACTCCCGTCCACAGGGACAGTTGCTGGTTTACTCTCTTCCCTGGGGCAAGGTCTTCCCCTACCACCACTTTACAACAGACCAATCCCAAAACAAGTCCTGGGATTTACTTATGATCTTCTCGTTACGTAGCTCCCTCCTAGAAAAATCATGGCAAGACCCTTTCCTCACTTTTTTCTCAGGCACTAAGGTTGGGGCAAGACCCTTCATGATGTCCTGGTAACAGGCAAGTCCCTAGACATTTCCCAGTCTGAGCTGCCCTGAGTGTACACACCAATCTGCTGCCGACTCCCACCGTCGGGCTACTCTATTGTGCAGGAGTGTCCTTTGACCAGCACAGGGAAGCATAGAGGACAGCTTGAGGGAGCCAAAGAGTTCCCGCTGTTTACAGAGTAAGTTGCTGAGAAAACCCGTTTCTCCTGCTGCCTTGGTGGGTCATGGGGACAGCAGTCAGAGGAGGCCAACGCTCTCACTCAGGAGCCTCAGCTGTCTGCATGGGAACAGGGGCAAAACTGGGCTATGGATTTTCAAAGCTCAACTGCTGATACCCAGCAGGAGGTCCGTAATGCATATGGAAGGCAGCACAAAAACTGCAAGAACTTTGACTGTTCAAACCCTCTTCCCTGAGACAGCACAGCTCTTCTCACAGAAGCTGTGGTGACCAGAGTCCGTACGGCACAGGAACCTTAGCACTCCCTTAGTGCCTCGCCAACGCGGATGCTCCTGTTGGAACTGTTTTATCTGAGATCGGAGAAGCAAGTTCTGGACCCACCACTGAAATCCCCCTCCCCCTCTGCGGCAGAGACAACTCCTTGTCCTGTGCATGGACGCAGATGTTCCTGGCTACCAGTCACTCACTCCGGAATGAAGGCTGTTATGTTTTGTCCTCCTGCGTGAGGCCTGTAACACATGATCTGCCACTTCGGGTTCCTTCTCTTTACATTATTAACCTTCTGCAAAGTACGCTGGAAAAAAAAAAGCATGCCCACAGAAAGTAAAAGGGCCCTGGGCTCCAGAAACAATATACAGTGCCCTGCATTAGCGAGAAGAGATCCTCACTATAGTTGGCAAGGAACAAAATGCACCCGCAATGTGTTAGTTACAAACAATATTGACTCCTGACCTAATAATCTTGGAGAAAAGCTTAATCCATCTGAAGATGTAAACATCAACAACACTGTCCATATCCTGGGTCATCAAGGGACAGAGAGTCCATGCATGGACCCGCTGGCATTCTTGTATTTCATGGATCCACCCCCATTACCCTCACCTCTGCATGTCTGTGTTTTCCCTTAGTCATCTATGCTGGAAAAAAAAAAAAAAACAAACAGAAATTAAAAAGAGAAAGGCATATCCCAAATGCCTTCCCACATGCGTCTGTATCCTTTCTCACAGTCCCTACACACACCTCACATGCGCATTTCTTATTGTCCCAGAAAATCACCAGAGAGGTGATTATGCATTCACCAATAAAACAAGAACATGTGAACTCAACGCACAAGTGAACTTCAAGATTCCCATCATCCTTGTCTAGCTTAATGTGTCTTATGATACCCCAAACAAAGGACTGTGGAGGTACCTGCGCCCAGCAAACTGGGCCCTGGATATCTTGGTGCGCACTATCCCCTTTCCTTGAACCACTGCTGCTTTTGCAGCACAAAGCAAGCCTCCAACTGCACTTCCTTTGCTTTCTTTTGCCTCTCCAACTCTGGCTTCTAGGAAGAATCCCAAAATGCGCCACACCCAGTCACTCTATAACTTTAGCGGCCCGTCTCCACTGCAGATGATGCAGAGAATGAAACACATGGAATCCACTGGGTACACACACACACACACACACACACACACACACAGACCCACACAACCCTCCCCCCCCGCCCACAGACACACACACACAAGAGTCCCTTGACAGTGTTTATTTTCACTCCATGAAATCCAAGTTTACCCCCTCTTCCTATCTGCATTTTTCTATGACAGGATCTGTCTTTCTTTTGCTTCCTGTGCATAAGACCATGTTGAGTACTGACATCCTGAATAATGTAGTAACTTTTCAGGAGTTCTGCCGTTTCAGGTGAAGTCCGACGCACCATCATATTCAACCCGAAAAATGGGAGTCCCCTAAAGAAACACAACTGCGTGTCAAAATGCATTTCCTCTGAGCAATAGTTTTAAATGCTTTAATTTTAGGGCCCGCCCAGAAAAGACTACCCCTTCCCCGTTTGTGATCTCCTAAACTTCCTCCTACCATATGTTACCAGCTGTTCTCTGTCATACCTGCCCCACTGCCAGCATTTTCTCCCTGTGACGGAAGTCAGCTAACAACAGTGACTGGGTGTGGCGCAATCTGGGATTCTTCCAAGAGGACAGAGTTGGAGAGGCAAAAGAAAGCAAAGACAGGACAGTGCAGCTGGAGGCTTGCTTTGTGCTGCAGAAGCAGCAGTGGTTCAAGGAAAGGGGATAATGTGCACTAAGATATCCAGGGCCCAGTGTGCTGGGATGAGGTACCTCCACAGTCCTTTGTTTGGGGTATCATAAGACACATTAAGCACATTAAGCTAGACAAGGATGATGGAAATCTTGACGTTCACTTATGCGTTGAGTTCACATGTTCTTCTTTTATAGGTGAATGCATAATCACCTCTCTGGTGATTTTCTGGGACAGTAAGAGCACACAGAAATCTGATCGGGCTATAGTATAAGAACAGCAGTCTAAACAGTCATTGTGGTTTGTGGCAAGGAGGCATATCCAGGGAGCCCAATCTTAAGGGGCTGGTAGGATGACTGCCAGTGGGGTTGGCAGCCATGGAAACAAGTGCCACAAATTGAAGGTAATGATTCAGCTTCACTTCTCAGTGAGTCTGGACAGCGACTATGCTTGGCTGGGCTTAAGACTCCCCAGCTCTAACCTGCCTTGCAGTGCTGTCTCTGATGTGCCTCTTTGAGCCCAAATGCCCTGGATGTACTGGATTCTGTCACTCTCTGTCTCCCTGTCGAGGTATTCCTACGTGTATGAAAGGAGCCTCAATTTCTACATTTCCGAATGCAGCGTCCAGGCTCCCTGCATACAGGCATGTCCACCTTCCTCATCCTGAGGATCAGTCAGCTCTAGCTCCAACTGAACGGCTTACCTGAAATCTCTGTTCCCTCTTCGGGTGGCCTGGTCCTCGTGTAGTATTGCAGGGGATTGCGCCACAGGTCCTTACTTAGGATCTATCACAGGAATCAATTGGGAAAGGCCTCATCAGGGCTGAGACTGGTGAGCCAAGCAGCTGGGAACACACCGGGGTCATTCCTGATGTTTTCCAGCGAGGACCCACCTCAGCGATCCTGTTAGATCCTGCGAAGTTGTGGTCAGAAAACCAGTTGAAGAAGTTAAGGCTGCTGTTCTGGTGTCTGGGCGGTAGGCCACACGGTCATAACGCTGATGCCACTGAACTGGAGTGGAATGAGAAGGCCTGTATTCTACAGAGAGGGGATTTTGTGGGAAGTGGGCTGGATCACGTTGGCAATGATCCATCCACCTACCCACCACCTTCCTTCCACTGCCCCTCCTGGGAGCCACCAGTCACCTGTGAGGTTCACGAGATACTCCTTGGTAACCACGTTATTCTGGAAGTAGGGGTTGCTCCGAAAGAACAACATGATCTTGCAGACGTGAATAGGTTGCTTTGTTTCTTTCACCTGTCAGGACAAAGTGGAGAAAGCTTACGTATCTTTCCAGGTGAGGTGCCCACTGTTGCTGACAGCAAGGAGTTGCTTCCCTTCCCCCTCCCCACTAAACCTTCTAGCCTCAGTCCTCGTGGCCTCACCTCCAAGTTGATCATGTAGCTAAGCATGCGTACATCTTGGTCAGTGATCAGGGCTGACATCTGGGGGTGGTTTGCAATCTGAATTAGGTCAAAGAGCCTTTACAGGGATGGAAGGAAGAGGTACAAGCAACAGGGAAGCAGGTCTAAGAGCCAGAAGGAACACGGAAGAAGCTCTAAGGCTGGGGTACGGGATTTCTGAGATCTGCTTCAGTGTGTGACCTTCATTTCCCCACCCCCTGCCCGGAATTAAGGCCTCGTGGGTTCTCGGAGCGTGTATAATTCTGAGGCTGACTGGGGCAATCTGCAGAGGGCTGCTGGCGTCTCAGGAGGGGCAGAGCCAGCTTATACCCGAAAATGTCCTGTCCCAGATCTGACTGGCAAGGGGGAGCGATCACACTCCCTTATCAGTAGCTTGATTCTCCGAAAAAGAAACTCTGCTGGGGAGAACTCGCTTCTGCTCTTCAAAAGGATGACTCAACCACCTGCTGCTCGGCATCTCGAAGGGTTTCTGTGCCGCCCGCAGGCAGGAAAACAGTACCTGCGACCGCTCCGGCCTTCTAAAGCCAGACTTTCACGCCGCAACTCTCGCAACTCACCGTTGTTTCCAGAATAGACATATCCATGCTGAGCTGCCCCTAAGTTATTTACAGTTCCCCTAGAGCATCTTTCAACCGGACGAACAGAAAAAGTGCTGAAAAGGATACGACATTGGCCCAGAAGCCGGGGATGCCCCGGATGATGGCGCCTCTGCGATCCAGGTGGGGCTTGCGCCTGCGCTCCAGCTTTTCCCTCTGCTGAGAAAAGGCCCTCCTGGCTCGGGCGTTAACAGGCTCCAGCTCCACCTGAACAGCCCGGAGCTCGTCCAGTGCGGACTCTGGCGTCAGGGGCCCAGGCCCCGGCTGTGCCCCTTTGTCCTGCCGCTCCCGCTCGACATCGGCTTCCTCCTCGGCCGCCGCTTCCACTTCCGCCATTATGTCGTCCTCCACCACCAGCACCGCCTCCTCCTCCTCCTCCCTCAAGGCGTCCTACTTGCTCTGCTTCCCTTACTGGAGCCTGCGGGTGGCTTGGCGGACGCCCAGGGCGCATGCGCATGCGCGGGACTTCCAGGCGCCGCCGGGCCCCCCGCCGCCAACCCGTTACTCTGCCGCGCTTACGGGAGCCTGGGCGTGGCTTGGCGGACCCCCAGCGCGCATGCGCAGGACTTTCCGGGCGAACCCGTGGCCAACTGCCTCCAAATGGGTGGCCGAGCTGGAAGCAGGCTGTAGGCCTCTCCCGGCGGCCAGTCAGTGCCAGGGCGGTGGGCGTGTCCATGGAAGCCACGCCCCCGGCTGGGCCTGCAGCCGCAGCCTCCTCGGGTAAGCCTGGGTGAGAAGCCCTGGGAGCTCGCGGCAGGCGGCGGTGTGTGCGGGCACACGCGGGCTGCCCGCCCTTTGGAATTGTGGGCATGGAAGCCCTGTGCCCTAACTGCCATCATGAGTGTGGCAGGCCATTGATCCACAGGGAACACATGAAGCATCTCAGTTCGTTCGGCAGGCCAGGTAGATGGTACTGAGTATTCCAAGATCCAAGATCGAGAGGAGAGAGAGAGGCACCAGCGCTGGCTGCTGGGGCGAGGGCTGCGGAGAGGCTTGAGGAAGTGGGGCGGGGCAGGCGCCTGGAAGGAAAGTTGCCTAATATCTTGCTGGAGTGGAATTTGTCTGCTCCAGAGGTGGAAACTCTCGCTCGGACTCCTGCAGGTCTAGGCGCATACAGGCTCCGAGTACCTTGCTTCCTCCCTGAGGATGCTGGACTCGCAGGAGCATTCCAAAGCACCTGGCGTCCAGTGCCCTGGACACACCTTGTGGACCCAGAGGCTACCGCAAGCGCAGCAGCGGCCGTGGTACCTGCTGGCTGGGCTCTGTAAGACCAGGGCCTCCGCCTCCTGCTCCTGGGCCCCGGTTGGGGACCTGGCTCCTGTTGGGGACCTGGGCCCCACGGCAAGTGCCTAGGGCAGCCAGCCGGGTGGGGCTCCCCAGGAACCCTGGGTCCAGGTAGGCACGGCACGGGGTTCTCAGCAGGGGAGTCTAGGGCTGCCGGGGTCTTGGGGAGGACGCCGCGGACGCCGCAGGGCATGGTCTGTGAGCGCCCCCAGGAGGGGCCGAGTTCAGGCTGGAGGCTCTGCAAGGGTGGGCGGCTGGGGCGAGGAGCTAGGAGGCAGCCGTGCGGGAGGAGGCAGTGCTGGTGGTGGACGACGTGGTGGTGGACGACGTAATGGTGGACGTGGACGCGGTGGCCGAGGAGGGGGCTAACACCGAGGAGCGGCAGCAGGTGGACCAGCGGGCCCAGCCTAGCCCTGGCCCCAGCAAGCACTGGCTGGCAACGGACTCGCCGGAGGTCCTTCAATCGGAGCTGGGCTCCGTTAATGCCCCAGATGGCAGGGCATCTCCGGCTTCTGGGGAGACCCATATCCTTGCAGGTTTCAAGACTCGGGTTCCTGGGACACGGGGCTGCCCTCCTCTGCAAGGCAGGCACCAGCTCCCCAGACACGCTCTCCTCCCTTTTGCTGGCCCTGCCCCCAAAGGGGTGTCGTAGGCCCCTTGGGAGCATAGATAACCTCCGCCCGCACCCACGAGAGCCCCTTGGGGAGCACCAGGCACAGCCCTGCAGCCCCTTCTACCCTCAGCGGTTTCCTCATGGGGAGTCATCCACCCCTCAGGGAGTTCGGGAGAGGAGAACACCATACAGCCAGAGAGCATCAGACCCTGTTCAGCAGCCAGCACACGAGGGCCTCGTGCGGCTCCGGAATCCTGAGGAAGCAGCCGCCTCATACCACCCAGCCCGCCCCCTAACCTCCTGACCACTTCTTCCGTGGGTGGCCCCTGGACAGCGTAGGCTTTCTCGGCCTCGTTCCACCCACGCCCAAGTCCACCACAGCCGTGAAGTGCCCCCACGCCGGACACAGTCAGAGGACCACCAAGAAAGGGTGCCAGGCCCAAGGTCTGCCGGAGACCCCTGCCCCACACTCTCTGCCCTCTTGCAGAGTTCCACTGTGTTTTATGGGACATTCACTCAATCATCTGGAGGCTCTTTGAGCAGAGGCAGATTGTGCAGCACAGCCAGACCACCATACAGTCTGGCTTACTTGCTTAGCTACATGATGGATTTGCAGGTCAGGCTGGGAAGCCTAGGTCTGGGGGAGAGGTCAGGACTCAGGGGTCGGCCTGGATCCGGGTGCGGGGGTGGGGTTTCTGGGGGAAGGGGCGAGCTGGGTGGAGGAAATGCCTGCTTCTCTCCAGCAGCTGGCAGGCCGCTTCAGCCCAGGTAGCTGAAATGGTCTCTTTGTGGCCCTACTCCTTCTCCCTTCGTCACCAGGCAGGTGGAGGAACTCAGCCATCCCAGGTACCAGCAGCAGGATGAAGTTCTCCTTTCCTCACAACCTTTACTTCGTCCGTGCGGTGATCATTAAGGAGTATCCCCTTGGTGTCCTAGGTAAGTAGTGCCTCCAGGCTCCCCAGGGGAAGTGGTGCGTGAGAGGCTAGGCCTGGCATGAGCCTTCCCCACTCCCCTCTCTCCAGGATACAGGGTGGTTGATTCCACTGCACTCCTCCAGTGGCTCTAGGTTCATGAAGGTGAAGCCCCCATCTGCAGGCAGGCGGGACACCAACAACCTGAGCTTCTTCAGCTGCTTGGCTGATAATATGATAATATAGGGAAATAGACTCAAGAAAAGTTTTGAGTGACCTGCAGATTCCTTTAGAGTACTTACTTGTACATTTTTAACTTCTTTCCCCTGTGGCTCTGTTTATTATTTGTGATGTATATTTGTTTTCTTACTTGCCTCTTGTGGAATGTTTGTTTCAAAGGATTTTTTTAAAATTTTCCTGTTGGATATGTGAGTTTGCCTGTGAGCACTTTTTCGTGAACAGAATATGAACTTATGTTTATTTTTTCAGATGGAGTCTCACTCTGTTGCTCAGGCTGGCTGGAGTGTAGTGGTGTGATCTCAGCTCACTGCAACGTCCCCCTCCCAGCTTCAAGCAATTCCCCTGCCTCAGCCCGCTGAGGAGCTGGGATTACGGGTGCGTGCCACCATGCCCAGCTAATTTTTTGTCATTTTAGTCAAGATGGGGTTTCACTATGTTTGGCAGGCTGGTCTCGAACCCCTGACCTCAAGTGATCCACCCACCTGGGCCTCCCAAAATGCCGGGATTTAAAGGCATGAGCCACCATGCCCGGCCTCATTTGTTTGTTTACGTATTTTAACTCTTGTTCTGTATTCTTCACGTACACATATTGTAGAGTGATTGTAATATTTTATCTATTGACTCACTACTTTAGTAGGATTTGAAAAGCAATGTTTTCATTCACTGAATACAGTGCTGCAAATAGGTTGAACCTTGCTTGGGTAGCACTGTCATTCTTTCCTTCATAAATTCTTCAGGAACTCTGATACTATTTTCCCCCACCTGAGGAGAACGTGCAGATATGAAAATTCGTGTGAGTGAGTAGGTGTGAAAATATAATCTGAAAGACCAGTGAAGTTCAGAAGTACAATTTCGCAGTGTTTGCATTTTTAATTCACATCGTTTTGAAAACGCTATTTGCAGTCACGTTCATGTTAAAGACACACTCGTGAATCGTTTTCAAGAATGAAATGGAAACAATCCAAGGCCATGCGTTAGTTTAGGAAGTAATAACACGGCAGTTGTTATGAAGAAACACCATATTTATTGAATGTATGTTTAGAGAGATTTTAGAAGGCTTAAGTCAATATTTTAGCTTTTGTTGCTCTGGGGTTTTATCAGACTGTGACCAGACTGTAGCGTGACTAGTTATAGTCGCTAGGCTACCAAAGTCTCTGGGCTGCAGTAATTATTGCTGAAGAAAGTGGCAATGAGTTTGGCTGTTTAAGGAGAGTAGATGAATGAGCAGTTTCTACCCGAGGCCTGGCTTACTGGGTGGCCTTCTTTTGCTGACGTAGATAAGATCCAGGGAGCTGTGGACTCACTATAGTAGCTAGGGCTTTGAGACTGGCGAAGCCTATTTGCCTCCAACTGCCATAGCCAGTTATTGGCCTGCACATAATGGCACTTTGCACTTCCTGGACTCACCGACTCCTGTGAATTCAAACACAGAATTTGGATTTAAACTCTATTCCAACTTCTAAAACTTAGATTTAAATTTAAGTGGATAATAAGGATCTATTCAGAAGAAAGGGAGACATCAGTTAAGTGCATAGGTAAATTATCCTGATCAAATACATTCAAAAATATCACTGACAACTAATCCTTAAAACGTTATTTTCACTAGGGAAACGGAAAATGTTAAGCTCACCTTAAGCTCTGAGGTATAAAGATAGAATTATTAGAATAAGGGAATTATGTAAAATATCTATTTTGTTTGAAGAGCAGCATACTAGTGATTTAGCATGGCTAGAGATTAACAACCCATGTAAGAAAACTCAGATATTAACAAAGGTTTTTTTCAGAAAGTTTGTTCTGTAATTAAAGAATTTGAAAATTTATTCCTACTGATCAATGATTCATTTGTACTTCTCATTTAGGCATAGGCTCTATATCCATTTATACAGAAAGTTAAAAGACAAAAAGAATGACCGCATACCACATTTGCATCAGAGTCTTTGGCCTGAGTGATGAAGCAAAGGACAGAACTGCCTATGTCAGGGTACAGATGGGCACAACTTGAAGCTTCCATCACTTGCATCTTTAACATCCTGGACTCTCATCGGTCTCTCCTAGAAAGACAAATGGACTATAACTATCCCAAAGAACATACGTTACATGTAAACACTAAGCATTGAGATGAGACCACGATTTGTCTTATTCCTAATGTCCTGTAAACACATTTGCATCTGTAACTTATACAAAGAAATTCAGTTTATTTTATCATTATTATTTTATACCCTACATTAATGTATTTCATTCTTTTTCTAGTCTTTTTTTTTTTTTTTTTTTTTTTTGAGATTGAGTACTGCTCTGTCACCCAAGCTGGAGTGCAGTGGCGTGATCTCAGCTCACTGCAACCTCCACTTCCTGGGTTCAAACAATTCTCCTGCCTTAGCCTTAACCTTCT